AGGAATTTTAAGCTTTATCTTTCATATCCACTTTAAAAAAATATAACTTTATTTTAAAACAAAATATTTTATGGGTTAAGCCACCAGGGTGGCGTAAGGGATTCGCATTTTTGTATAATATTTATGTAAATATCTACCAAAATTCTAATAACCATTAAAAAAAAAGTTTTTATATTTTCTGGCCTTTTCTTAATTGTTAATAAAATGCGATGAAAAAAAATCAGCCTCACCATTGATAAGGGGAAAGAGGGATGCTTGCTGCTCTAGGAAAGATTTAAGACTTGGATCGAGATCCATCGGACTGGGAGGCGACTCCTTGTCCATCTCGAACTGTTCAAAGTGCACTCAGCCCTGAAGACTTCAGCGGACTTGATCCTCGCTGAACTTTATCACAGCACTTCAACCGACAAAAACCGACTGAACGCCATTGGAAGGGCCCTCTTCGGGCCAGACCCCCTCCAACCCTGTTTAAATTCTTAATTCCGTTCTTCCGAAGGTCCTCTTCTCCGACAGATCTCGATCTAGAGATTATTTGTTGTTTTTGTCCTGTGAGGATCCCGTCAGACTTTCGGCTTTTTCCACCGTTCGGATCCGACCGATCGTTCTTACAACAAAATACGAGTTGGAAGAGAACTTCCCTTAAATTCTCCCCTCTGGAACTTTCCATGTTGATTCCAATTCCAACTAAGAGCGTCCAACATATTACAACAACATCAGTTAATTATTTCTGTTCTTAATTTTTATTTATATTAAAAATCAGAAAAAAGTCATACTTGACAGAAAACAGTCGTAGACGAAGAAAAACTTCGTCGAAGTTTCGGGGAATCTACCGCCTTCATCAGGTACATTTTACACTCCCAAAGACAAAAACCAACACTAGTATTTATTTCTTTATTTTCCATAATTAAGATTTTTTGTATTTGGCTGCATATGCGTCATAAAAACCTGTGCCATGTTGAGCTTACTCGCTTCTCGTACTCCAATTCCAGACTTTGCTATTTACAGTAAATCGTCGGCAGACTCGAAAATCACCCCTGGTATTGGCAGTCCGGGGGCAGAGTCATCCGTCCAGCCACCGAGGTTAGGCTCCGGGCGCTGTCAACAGCTAGGACAATTCAGCACCAAAACAGCACCCCTTAAATACCGTTACGGCCTGGTGATTTTGCCGTAAATGCGAATGTGAGGAACCAAGAGAATAAAATCTTACCTTGTCTCCTTTTGAGAGAAGTCTTCCAACGTCGCTCCGCCGCTCACTCAGGCCTGAAGATTGGCACGAAGAGGTCTCTCTGTCTGAAACCCTTGGGTCCTCGTTTGGAACTGGGCGGTCCAGCCGGTTTGAATGGAGAGAAATGTGTCTGGTTCAACGTCGCGAAAGGAGTTGAAAAGATATGCAAGGTGCATAGCCTTACTGAGAAAACTTACAAGGGGGAGAGTTAATCCTCTTTCGCATAAACATACCGCCCACCTTAAATGGTTGATAACCTTAAAGGCTAGGAATACATTCCCGGAAGATAGTCATTTTCTCTGACAGCCAGGCAGCACTCAAGTGAGGAAAAGGCAAAGAGTGTTTGGAACTGCATGGAGGCCTTGATGGAGGTCAGTGACAGAAATGATTGACCCTGGCATGGGTCCCTGGACGTTCGAGGCATAAAGGCCAAAACGTGGGCCAACGTGGACTCTCTGGTTGGCACAAAATGAACACATGGACCCTACTGTGGCTTATCAGCCTGTCATGAGTCCACAACCTGGTGGAGTAATACCACAGTTATGAGGCACGCAAAGAGATTCATAAAAGGACCATCCGCAAAACTTACAAAAGAAAGAAAGGCAACCACAACTGAACCAGGATTCTGGATGGACTCCTGACAGGGCACGCCACTTAAGAAGGCATATGCACCGGACAGGAGTAGAGACAGAAGAGACACTGTGCAGATACTACCAGGAAGAGGAGGAGACCGCAGAACACATTCTACAATTCTCTGAAGGTCTTTGCAGGTGCAGGTTTTGCAACTAGGACAAGAAAAACGACAAGCAAGATCCTACACTAAGAAGCCGCTGACAAAGCTGTGGAGGCTGATTAATAACCTGAAGCCGGCCAGTGAGTTATAAATAACAGGGGAGCACAATAGATCTATTCAGGTCGAGGTGCAGTAGGCCTTGTGGCTGCCACTTTTATCCCTATCCCTATCCGTATAGGCTAAGAAAGTGGAGTCGAATTCACATTTTGCATGAATGCTACATCGCCCTGCTGTAATGAACGGGACATCCCCTACCACTCCTCCTCTCAATCAAGTCATTTTGATACAGACCAACGATTCCAAAACGCCTGAAATTCCAGCTTGATAATTGCCAGCGAGTCAGGGGAAAAGGTATTTTCAGATGATTCCTTTCTGGAGGAGCAAAAAGGGGAGCGCCAACAAAAAAATGACCTGGACTTAAGAAATCTGAGTCATTTTCAGTTGGGAGGTTGGCACATAAAGGTCTACTGTTCTTCTATTCCCGCAAATAAAATTGAGCGTTCTGCAAAGGTGAGGGTTCTTCAATAAGACTTAATAAGATTTTCTTCGCAGATTTGATCACGTCTTCCCATACACCACCAAAATGTAGAGCGCTCAGGGGATTAAACTTCCTTTCACTTAAAAACTTTCTCCCACAGTCAGATTAAACTTCTGCAGGTAGTCCTCAGCGAGAAGTAAAAAGGTCTAAAGCTGCCAAGAGTGTAGTTGAGGTAAGTTGGGAGACCATTTCTAGGTGCAAAGCTAGGGGAGCCTTATGGCAATTATTCTCCTTGACAGCAAAAGGCCCAGGAAATTCAATGCCTATGGCGAGAAAGGGACATTCACTCCTATTTACATACCATTCATTACTCAATATTCCTCCATCGACCCTCTCACATCACACATTCACGCTAATAAATAGATTCACTCCCAACATAAATTATACACAACTATTATAACTACATACAATAGAACAATCCTGTTTCCTCCAAGAATTGAAACAGGAGATCCAAATATCCGCTGCCATGTTCAAGCACAATTCTCAAATCGAGAGGCATACCTTCATATTCTCGGTATGGAGCCAAGCACCCTTCAATTAGGTGGGACATATCAAGCAACCTTCCTCTCCATGCAGGCACATATGCGGGCTTTAGCTCTCTATTTCTATATCCTTTTTTAATCAGGCTAGGAGCAAAAAGCTTTCCCCACATTTCTGTATTATACCTCTTGAATTAATGTTCTCCTGTTATACTTTATTTTGTCTAATTTTTTCTGACTTCCAACAGTTTTTTAATCTATAAATCTGTCCCTTTTCTTTCTGTTTCTTTTTTCTTTTCTTTATACTTCCATATTCTATTTGAAACAGGCTTAGAGCCAAAAGCTTTCTTCACTTTTCTGTCTTGTATTATCTTGAATTAATGGTCTCCTATTTTTTATTTTACATAATTTTTTTTCTAACTTCCATACATTATGGAAACTTTTCTGTTTCTCCTATCAAGTCATCAGACACAATCGCCTATTTAGTGGTTTTTGTGTGATTTTGATTACAGTATTCCATCCACTGTTCCTACTGAATCGTTTTGTGTTCTGAAGTGGAACTTTATTCCGGAATGTAATTAAGGATTTGCAATGTCCAATCTTGGATCTACTGCTATCCTGAGTTACGTGAATTTCCAATGTTTTTCAATATCCAAGAATTTTGGATAAACAGGATAAAAGCTGAAACGTCTGGCGTCTTTCTATCGTGAAAAATCTTGTACGATCAAAATCTGTCAACATTTATCGACTCACTGGGTTTTTAAAATTTTTTTTAACTTTTTGAAAGAGATATTGTTGAAAGCATTACTGCTCACTTTTTTTTTTTTTTAAATTCTTTGAAAGTGGTTTTATTCTAGGACAATTGCATATTATTGTCACAGTTTTTTGTCATTACTGCTCACTCTGTTTTGTTTTTAATTCTTTGAAAGTGGTTTTATCTTATGACAATTGCATATTATTGTGAGTTTTTTTGCATTACTAACTCACTGAATTTTTTTTTTTTTTTTAGTGGTTTTTCCTGTGATAATTGCATACTATTGTCTTTTTTGGCATTACTGACTCACTTTTTTTTTGGCGTTTTTTTTTTTTTTTGTGACAGATTTTGACTGACATGACAGACACATTATTGTGACAGTTTTTTGGCAGCTCATTCTGTTTTGTTTTTAATTCTTTGAAAGTGGTTTTATCTTATGACAATTGCATATTATTGTGACAGTTTTTTTGGCATTACTGACCCACTGTATATATATATTTTTTTTTTTTGAGTGGTTTTATCCTAGGACAATTGCATATTATTGTGGCCGTTTTTTGGCATTACTAACACTGTTTATTTTTTTTTTTTTTGACAGATTTTTACTGACATGACAGACACATTATTGTGACAGTTTTTTGGCAGCTCACTCTGTTTTGTTTTTAATTCTTTGAAAGTGGTTTTATCTTATGACAATTGCATATTATTGTGACAGTTTTTTTGGCATTATTGACTCACTGGTGTTTTTTTATTATTATTATTTTTTTTATTATTGTGTGTGTATTGTTATATTATTGTGAGTTTTTTGGCATTACTGACTCACTCTGTATGTTTTTTATTTTTATTTTTGAGAGTAGTTTTATCCTATGACAGTTGCATATTATTGCGACAGTTTTTTTGGCATTACTGCTCTCTCTCTCTTTTTTTTTTTTTTTTTTTTTTTTTTTTTTTTTTTTTTTTTTTTTTTTTTTTTTTTAATTCTTTGAAAGTGGTTTTATCTTATGACAATTGCACATTATTGTGACTTTTTTTACATTTTTATTTAACTACAGTGATATTTTTGTTGTTAAAAACAATAATATTACACTTTTATTTATTAAAAAATTATTATATACATTTCAAAATGGCTGAATTTTGATTAAACAGAATTATTTTCAAATACAAGACTCAATACTTTTTTAAATAATAATAATCAGTAAAATTACAAATGCATGGCCGATTTATCTAAATGTATTTTTTCAATCACAGTAATTGGTGTGCTGACTTTCACCTTGGTAGTAAATAAGCGGAGAACAGATTTGATATGGCAATGATGAACTGCCAGTGCTCCATAAAATCCACCATCCTCCCCTTGTCAAACATTGGGTCAAGCCTAATAAAAAAAATAATAATAATAAAATTAAAAAAAAAAGAAAAGATAAATCATCGAAGGAGCTGTAATGGGAAACCCCTATGCAATATGGAAAAAGGAAGTATCTACGCACATGTTAAACTGTATTAATCCAAGGCCTTGTCGCAGTGTGTCACTAGACAAAATAAAACAACATTATACAAATGTATATAATCAAGCTGTTTTGTCTCAGGATGATTTTTTTTTTTTTTTTTAGAAAATGGAAGGCCAATTAGAACATCCAGCCCTTTACTCTTATAAATCGCCAAGAAAAATATTTAAATATTATTGCACAAGTTTATAAATATTAAACAAAATTGGGCGGTATGTTCGGTTTTAAACATAAAAGTTTAATATAAATAAATATGTTTGCTAACATTATAGCGAACATACTTCCTTTTCATATTACGTGAATTTTAACATGATTTATTAGATAAGATGAAAGTTGAGGTCCTTGATGTTTCGTAAAGAGCTTAGAATTATAATTGGCCCTCCAGAGAAATGAAAAATTTGAATAAACAAAGTAAAGGACCACAAATACCATGTCTTGATTTAACAAAAACAACTTTATTCTTTTTTTTTTTATTGTATATTACAACTACCTGCATTTTTGTATCTAGTAATAATGTATGAATAAATCATCAAGAAAACAAGAGTGGAGAAACTACCCACTGGTAGTACTCCTAACTATTCTTCATTAAATTGTCACTGGATAGAAGATCCCATGGCCTTCGTCTTTTTAGTCGGCGAAGAGGGTTGGAAGGAATTCGTCGGGATGAGAGGATTTGAATTTGAGGATTTATAGTGGTTGGGAGGTTTGTGAAAAATTTTTGGTAACGGGAGTGGATTACATCTTGGACAAAAGGAATATTTAGGTCTTTATGGGTAGTGTCGTTGGACACATAAAAGGGAGCATTAAGGATTTTTCTGAGGATGATGGATTGGGCTCTTTGGATGCGTAGGATATTGGAATGCTGAACCCCACACTTCCAGTCCATAAGTTCATATTGGCTTCACTAGGGTGATATAAAGTAGTCTTTTGTTTAAGAGAGGTAGGTTAGAACGTCTGTCAAGAAATCGTGAAAGTGCTCTGTAATGTTCGTTGTTTACAGATTTTGTTAACAAGTGCAGTTGAATTAATTTATTAGAAAATTATTGAAAAAATTAAACATAATGAATGCGTACGCTATGTGATAGCATTGTTTATTTGAGAGTTCTTGTACAGGTTAGCAGTTTGGTCATTTCCAATAAACCTGGTCTTGAAGATGAAGATAAGACTTCATCATTCAAAATTGTGAAACAATTCTCACAAACTAATCGCAGTTAGGAAGACTTAGGTTTAGAAATGACCAAATACACTATTTTCTATTTTTTTGTGGCAGGGGGAGGTTGCAACAGCAGAGGTTATATCAATCCAATGTTTTTTGAGAAAAAAGAAGCCATTTGTAAGTACATTGGGTTCAAATTGTGGTCCTTTACCGCGATGCTGTACCAACGCCTTAACCGTTGCAGCCACTAACGCCCCCAATACAACATTATTTATGTTGAACCTGTGATAATTTCAAACCTCTACTACCTTCGTTTTGTATGTTTTATTTATTAAAAGATATCAAAAGTATGATTTTTTTTATAATAAGACAGACAAAAGAAAACTCTGTTACAAAAAGAAACATTAAGTAGTCTTAATTGAATGAGGTTCTCATTTTCATATATAAGCATGACAGAGAAAAAATATGTTATTTTCTATAAACATAATGAGCATATTGTACAAACCTGAACATTGCAAAATAGTAGCTCAGACTGAAAGCAAATGAGGCAGAATGCCCACTAACCACTCCACAAACTAATATGGCAAGTATGCTACAAGAGTGGGATACAGCGAGGAGATACGGGTCTACGTGCTCAGGGTTGACATGGAACATAGTAAGGCTTGCAACTGGTATTATCAAGTGCACCGCTGCCAAGTCCGGTAAAGCACCTGAACACCTGCACACATCAGCCGCTAATAGTGGTAGCCCCAACACATAACACCAAGCAAACAAAACCTGCAAAAACACGAAAACATTGCGAATAAGGCGATCACAAGACACAACTTTCAGCAACCTACATCGGTCAATGTCACAAAATATTCTGATGGACTAAAAATTGTGTCCCTCACAATGGTGCTGATCCCGGTCAAGAAGTACAGCCTGTAGGCAGCCTTTGCATAACGGCATCCCTTGTGCACTCTTCGGTAGCAGTGTAGCGAGGAGAGGGACATCATAACTGCCGCAGTACTCTTTGAAGGTAACGAACCCATATCTTAATTTCTCCATTGCTTACACTGCATGAGAAGTTCAGTACCTAGTAATGTTCCTTTTAGTCTCAGAGCTGCAATTAACCTCTTCAATTCAGTTTGTTTTTATCTGACATACCAAGACCTAGATCTCTTAAAAAATGCTCATGTTATGATGTTGATGTTTTCTTTTATACTGGCTTACTTTTAATGTTGGGTACTATCATACTGTTTTGATAAACTTGACCAAAAAATTTTTCTGTTGTTTTTTTAAGGTCTGAACAGCATAAATGTGAAATGGACTAATAAAATTTAAAATCTTGGCCATGTGTTTTACTTTTTTTTTATTTCCCTTTTTCTAAATCATCTGCTACTTTTTGAGAGTTCCTTCTAAATTTTCCAATCTTTATTTATTTGGAATTTTTTTTTCTAAATTTTTACGTGTACCGGATATAATTATAACAAGAAAAATGGTAAGTCGTTGAAAAAAATCATTGACCTATTGTGATACATGTTATCTCTTACTGAAGACTTTCGACCTGTTTGAGTATGTAGTACTCGGGGTCTGCAGGACAAAACCAATGGGAAAAGACAGGCCAGGATGATCAGAGATAATCAATGAAAAATTTCTTCTCAAACATAACATTTAAATAATAATGTAAAAGTCTTCCCTTAAGATACAAAATTAGAAAAAACTAGCCTGGTTGTTATACATAGTCATTGTTAATAATATCTATGACATTTAGTGACTGAAATTATTCTAAACAATGATAAAAAATATTTTGGACATAAAATAAAACAAATAGTGAAGCATTAAGGTATCATTGGTAATAAATAGTTTAAAGAGTATTTTTTATTTATTTATATACAGTTTGGTCACCAAGAGTGACTAGATGAATAGTTAAGCTATGATGTAAGTCATTTAAAAGCTAGTAATTATTTTTTAATTAATGTGTTACAAATATCTGCACAAGTGTCAATAGAGCCTTTATGTGCAGTGAAAGTGTTGATACTTTCTAACAAGCCAAACTAATTAAAACTATCCAAGTGTAGAAACAAAAGAAGGAAAAATAAAATAAAATGTGTACAAAATGTCTATGTGGACTACACCGATACATACATTTATTTTTGTCTGCCTATCTTATTTTTCTCCCCCCCCCCCAGGGTTACTTGCGACTATAGCCTCCCCTTATTTTGCTGCGACCTAAAAGATGTATTGTGGAATTATATCCATACCCTGGAAGGTGTGGTAAGATAGTTGAGCACTTTCTGGGGTCCTTCACTTATTTCTTTAAGTATTAGTTTCATCTTTCTGAAGGGGCTACTGTTTACTTACGCAGGTTAGCTAATGTTATCAGTCACAGGACATGTTATGATGTTTATGCTTTTTCTTGACATAGAACTTTCTGTCTCAGTTTCCCATTTTATGAGTTGGTAATTGAGCTGGGGCAATTATTTCCCTTTTTATTTATTTATTTTTTGCTGATTAGGATCTTGAGCATTTTTGATTATTTTGTACTTGGTTAATTATGCATCAAATGGTTATTTTTTTGCTTTCACCCCGTCCGTTCAGTTACAGTTTTAGCATGTTTTAGTTTGTAAGCTGTTCATTAACTACAATCTCCTCGGGTACTAACACCTGCTGAAATCATCCATTGTAACTGTGGTTCTGGTTCAAAGGTTATGAAGGATGCTGCTTTTGCTAGTTAGTAAGCTGTTCGTTGCTTACAATCTCCTCAGGTCCTACCACCTGCTGAAATCATTCATTGTAACTGTGGTTCTGGTTCAATGGGTATGAAGGATGCTGCTTTTGCTAGTTTGTAAGCTGTTCATTGCTTACAATCGCCTCAGGTCCTACTACCTGCTGTAATCACTCATTGTCCGATCCGATCCTTCCGTGCATAGTATTTCTTAGGTTGCTTTCTTTTGCAGTCCATCCACACGCGTCATCCTCCTTACATCATCCAATCCCTCCAATTCAACTCCTCACATTACACTCGTAAGGCCCGCTCATCCCCAATCGACCTTATCCTTCCGCAACATACAACCCATACCTTCGAAAGATCCTTTCTGATCCGAGCCCCTAAACTCTGGAACTCCCTTCCCCTTTCTATTCGTCACGCTGCCTCCTTTTCCTCCTTTAAATCCCACCTGTATAATCACCTCCTCTCCCTCCAAGCAGAGACCTCACGTTAACATTTGTTATTTTTGTTTAATATTCTCGTAATTTTTTCTTCTGTCCTGCCTTATTGGTATACATTGTGCCAAGATTTATATCTTTTTTTTTTACTTTTAACTTCATAGAAGGAACTTCCTTTATTTATTTCATGTAAATTATTCTTAGGGGACACCAATCCCAGAATAAAGTTATTTTTCTTCTTTTTCTTGTAATTGTGGTTCTGGTACAAAGATGATTAGGCTGCTGCTTTGCTAGTTTGTAACCTGTCCGTTCCCTACAATCTCCTCGGGTACCAACTCCTGCTGAAATCATCAAGTGCAACTGTGGTTCTGGTTCAAAGGGTATGAGGGTTGCTGCTTTTGCTAGTCTGTAAGCTGTTTGTTGCCTACAATCTCCTCAGGCCCTTCCACCTGCTGAAATCATTCATTGTAACTGTGGTTCTGGTTCAAAGGGTGGAAGGATGCTGCTTTTGCTAGTTTGTAAGCTGTTCGTAGCTTACAATCTTCTCAGGTCCTATCACCTGCTGAAATCATCCTGTATAATTTCGGTTGGTTCTAATTGGAAGAGTTAATAAAATCAAAAAGCAGTATGAGTTCTTTGACATCACTGGTTGAAGGGAGGTTCAAGACAAATATAATTTTAAATTTTGTTTGCAGAGGGAAGTTATTTCACTTCATATCGGACAGGCTGGAGTGCAAATAGGAGGAGCTCTTTGGGAACTCTATTGCGCTGAGCACGGCATAGAACCGAACGGTGAACTCGAAAAAGAAAAGGAACATTCCATGGGGCTCGGTTCATTCTTCAGAAGCCTCCCAAATGGAAAATTCACTCCCCGGACTATTTTTGCCGACCTTGAACCCACTGTGATCGGTAAGTTTTATCCAAACTTATAAAGAGAAAAAAAAATTGATTGAAAATTATTATTTTTATTATTTCAGACGAGCTCAAAACTGGAAAGTACAAGAATCTCTATAGCAACTCGTTTATTGAAGGTGACGAGGATGCGGCAAATAATTATGCCAGAGGTTATTACACAGTAGGAAGGCAATCGGTTCAAAAGACAATGGAAGCAATTAGGGACAAAATTGCTGGTTGTGAGCAGTGCCAAGGATTTATGATTTATCATTCACTCGGTGGTGGCACTGGATCCGGATTTGTAGCTAGCCTTTTAGAGGAAATTGTAACCGATTACCCAAAACACGGCCTTCTCGAAATTGCCATATATCCTTCACCGACAGTAAGTTATTACAAAAAAATTTAAAAAAAGCCCTTTTTATTGGAAAGTTGATTTTTAATTTTAGATGTCAACAGCTGTTGTCGAACCGTATAACACAATTTTGAGTACACATTGCACGATGGAAACTTCTAAATGCGTTGTCCTCACTGATAATGAGTCTATGTATAAGATTTGCACTGATAAATTGGAAATCGATCAGCCAAATTATAAAAACATAAATGGAGTTCTCGCCCAGGCTGTTAGCGCGATGACTACAGGGATGCGTTTTGAGGGCGACCTCATGGCTGACTTTTTAGACTTTCAAACTAATCTTGTTCCATTCCCAAGGCTGCATTTTCCTATAGTCAGCTTAGCCCCGGTGATCGGAAACACGGTGACGGAAAAAGAGCCTTCGACTATCCCCGAGCTTACCGGAAAATGTTTCGATTCGTCGTATAGGCTGACGAACTGTGACAACGAATGGGGAAAATACATATCGTGCTGTTTGATGTATAGAGGGGATGTGACACCGAAAGACATAAACGAATCGTTAGCGTCAATAAAATCCCGAAAGAACATAAATTTCGTCGAGTGGTGCCCGACTGGGTTCAAAGTCAGCATCAATTCTCAGGCACCGGCGTCGCTCGACGGAGATGAGTCTTGCAGGGTGAAAAGGTCGGTTTGTATGCTCTGTAATAACACATCCATCAAGGATTCATGGCAATCGCTTGTGAGGAAATACGACGCTATGACAGCAAAAGGGGCGTTTTACCACTGGTATTTAGGCGAAGGGATGGAACAAAGCGAATTTTTTGAAGCCGGGGAAAATATAAAAACTCTCGTCAAAGATTATGAAGAGCTTCTCGTGTAGGAATTAAAAGTATAAAATAGGAAAGAAAAACTCAAAAAAATTAACAGGGCCTTGGTTGGTTCAATATTGAGTTGCTCATCCTAAGGTATGAAAATGACAGTCCCAGTCCCCTGCTCGGTCCAACTCAAATCAATAAATATTTTTATATATTAATTTTTTCTTATATATTTTACATAATTATGTTGATTCACGGCAGTAAGGGTAGGCTGTCCATAGGCTGCCTAATTAACCTAAAAAACGACATCTATCAGGCTGTGCAGTTGAAAAACGCTTTGAGATTTTGAACAAGTCCATTATATTTAGAGGTCTGATTGACCAAATTACTTCTTTCAATTAATTAATCTTTTTATGTAAGATTTTATCTAAAATAATATTGTAAGATTGTACCTAAAATGTAGTCCTGTTATTCACTTTTTTCGCACGTTCAAAATTGAGCAGCATCAAAAACCAGCTACTCATTAGAATGTGACGTTGGTGGTGGATATCACTCTCACTATTTTTGTCGAGAGACTTGTGTAGTTGTTTCAACCAACGTTTAATGCTCGAATTCCAGGCAAAAAGTAAAAAAGAACATTTCTGGTCAGCATGTTCAATTTTTACCGTAAGCAATCGGTCCAACTTTCCTCTGAACCCCCCGATTTTTTTTTTCTAGACGAGATAATTTGTTGTTGATAGTATATTCTTCTTTTCGGTTATAATCCATATAGCAATCAGAAATCTTTCATTTTGGGCTTGACCAAAGCCAACATAGAAACTGTATACCGGGGGTCTTACTTGGGAAAAAGTCTGTGGCGAGTAAACGTCAAAAATTATTTGTCCAATTTCTATTAAAATCTAGTTTCTTTTCTTTTTGTTAAACAATAAATTTTCTTAATATATCCATATACTTGCTTCTGAAATATCAAAACTTGTTTTGCAAAAATGCTTAAGATTGTCCGTTATGAAAACATATGTTGCAATATTAATCAGTTATATACAAGATATGACGCCGCAAGCTTAAATTACATTTATGCCTTATCTTATCCGGTGATAACAGGAAGTATAATCACACGAAAATAAAACGACAAATGGCCGCTATATTAGGAAGACCTACAGTACCTTGAATTTAGCTTTTACCCTCTGAAAAACGTTTGAACTGAGTTAAGTTTGATTGCATGATCATGAAAATTTGTCACTTTGATATAGGAAGAAGATGTCAGAACTGTAGAAAATCTCTTCAATTTTCTCGGAGGGAGTTATCACAAAAAAGTATTATGAAATCATTCAGCTAAATTGTGCACATCGGTCTCAAAGAAAAACCATGAAAACTCCGATAATTAACCATAGGATTCTAATGTGTAGAAGTATTCTAATGTGTAAAGTGCCAAAATTATAGGTAACAAAGAAATTATTATTAGTCAATTTAAAACAAAATATATAAGATCAAAGGCACAGTTCTGGAGCACAGAAGCAAGAAGAAAAAAAGGAAAAACTCCTGACCAATAGACACACCCAAAGCTATGGACAACTCAGCATCAGCCATGACATACAGGGTGTCCTTATTAAATGACCCGGCTGAATTTTTCTTGAACCAATGACATATAAAAAAAGTATTTAACATTTTCTAGTCTAATTTCAAAATTTTATCTACTTTTGGAGAAAAATTATACAAGGCGGCCATTTTCTCCTTTTCCCAATTTCAAGGGTTATGTCTTCCGCTTTAACTCGATAAATGATCGGGTAATATTCCTACAAAAAGGCAATGATTGATTTGCAAATTGATCCGCTTCCTCTTCGCCTTAATTTCCTATGCCTCAACCCTGCGGATCCATCCTTCGTCCCAAAGCGTGGAGTGCTTTACTAGTGCTTTGTTCTTTTTACTACAAGAAGTTCGTGGTGTGGGTCAACTATCTTACTTATTACTGCATTACTACCCTATGATATTAGTTTTTTCTTGAAGTATTGTAGGCCTTTTTTTGAGGGGGAGACCTTAGGCTCAGTTCAACTTCAAAATTTCAAAAACGACCTTATACACCTTGACGCTGAAAACAATTGTGCCATCGGATTTTAAATTGGTCAAAAAATGGCAGTTGTTGCAAAACTTTTGAAAAAAAGCATTTCATTTGATTCATTGTTAATTCCAATAATTTGCAAACAACTTCACTGAAGTAAACATTATTTGCTTTTATTGTTTACATTCTGTCATTGTATTATGGGAGCCAAATTCGTATTATGGGAGCAAAGCTTGATTCCTGGTAGTAAATAAATTCACTAATTTTCGTGGTCCGCTTGATCAAGGAGGGAAAAGTCAAAAGGTGTGGTTGAGATGGGACCTCGAGTCCGAGTGGATCGAAGTCACGATAGCTCAAGGGGTAGAGCAGCGGCGTATCTAGCCCGAAGATCGTGGGTTCGAATCCCGCTCGTGACACTGACTTTTTTATCTCAACTAAAAACCTTAATTAATTGAAAGGTAGTAAATAAATTTTGATTGCTTTATTGATATTGAGCGTTGTGCAGTCGAGTTGTACTCCCAGAAATTTCCTGATTGCCCTAGAGTAAATCATAAAACGTATATTCGTGTTGTTCGCAATATGAGGATATACGGATCAGTTGCTGTTCCATCACCAAAAAATCGGCAGCGTATTTCCGGAGAAGGTAAATATTTTATTGTATATTCGCGAAAATCCGAATTCCTCTCGCCAAAACGTCGGATGGTTTGTTTAAAAAAATAAAATTAGAGATGTTCTCCGGACTTACAATTTGAAGTAGTAGTCCAGGGACTTCGGGACTCTCATTATGGCAGTCTAACGTTCCTTGCACAAATGTCGATTTGGGATGCTGAAGAGAATTTTAAAAACTCAGAAGTACAACAAACAAATATTCCACACGTGGACGCTAAGAACACACAAGACAAAGATGATGATGATGAGGACACTAGAAAGAAGAAGTTTGAGCTCCCCAGGCACAGCAGCTAGGCCCCGAATCTTTACTTGGTTTAACAAAACCAATACAGAATCCTCCAACATCGAATGGATCCAAATGAAACAAAAGGAGAAGTAGATAAACTCTAGCCGCAGTGCCTGGGGAGCACAAACTTCTTCTTTCTAGTGTCCTCCTCATCGTCATCTTTGTCTTGTTTCGTAAGTCTGCGCGGACAAGGTGAAGCTCCACTTCTCCTTTTGTTTCCTTTGATTCTGGATTCTGTTAACCAAAGTATAGATCCGAGGCCTGTGTACGGTCTTGCAGATCCTCCTCTGGTCAGTGTGTCTTCTTTTTCGTTACTAAAAATTCCTTTGTGCCCTGGCACCCAAGATATCATCAAGTTGTGTTTCACCAGGTTTTGGATATATTGGATGCATTCATTGACTAATTTTGATTTGATTTTTTACACGCTAATGCTTTAATAACTGCTTAGCTATCAGACCTTATAAGAATTTTTTTGCCAGTGTAACCTCTTTAAAAATTTTCAGGGAGGGCACATTGATGGCATGTATTTTTGCTTGAAAGACCGAAGTGTACTTCCCTAGTGAGTTTAATTGCTCATAGGATGTTGTAAAGAATGTGTAGTCAGTCCTCATTTCCAAGAATAAGTCTCTCATTTGGTTAATTATGGTTCGAATTGTTTAGTTCCTATTACAATTTGATTATTTTTGGACTCTGAAAAAGCTTCACCTTGCAAAACACAGAAAACAAAGATGATGATGAGGAGGAGGACACTAGAAAGAAGAAGTTTGTGCTCCCCAGGCACTGCAGCTAGAGTTTATCCACTTTTCCTTTTGTTTCATTTGGATCCATTCCATGATGGAGGATTCAGGTTTTTTTAAACCCAAGTATAGATTCGGGGACTATGTATGGTCTTGCAGATCCTCTGACCAGTGTCTGCTTTTTGTTACCCAAAATTCCTATGTGTCCTGGCACCCAAGATATCATCAGGTCATTGTGTTTCACCAGGTTTTGGAGATTTTGGATGCATTCACTGACTAATTTTGATTTGGTTTTTTTTACGCTAATGCTTTAATAACTGCTTGGCTATCAAATCTTATAAGGATTTTTTTGCCAGTTTAACCTCTTTTAAGATTTTCCAGGGTACAAGCACTGATAGCAAGTATTTCCGCTTGAAAATCCGAAGTGTACTTCCCTAATGAGTTTGATTGCTCATAGGATGTAAAGAATGTGTAATCAGTCCCCATTTCTAAGAATACATCTCTGATTTTGTTAATTATGGTTGTGCGCCCGAATTGTTTAGTTCCTATCCAATTTGATTGCTTTTGGAGCCTAAAAACTTTTCATAGCTTCACCTTGTACGCGGAAAGTTACGAACACACAAGACAAAGATGACAAACCATTTTACGTTTTACAGACAAATAAGGCGCAAACCCAACGAAGATAGCGAAATATCGACCGACAGAGACCAGGACGACCGGATATGACTAAAATGCAAATAATTATAATAAAATAAAACACAGGTGCAAAACACCTGCGGGCTTTTTGTTCCGTGCTCGACCCGAACCACCAGTTCTTATTTTCACGATCCTCACTCGGCAAATAAGATCAACCAATGGCAAAAATCTCACAAAAAACATAACATTTGCATACGCGTCTAAACCCAATAATAGTAGAGATCATGGTTATTCTCAAGAGAGGTTTTTCTGAATTTTGATAAGACAGCTGATAAAAACATAATTGCACGGACTAAAAAAATTACGAAAGCCAAAAAAGAATATTTGTTTGGTAAATAAAATATTTAATCGAGAGAATGTTTATGGCACTCTAGCCCCCTTACCGGCTGCTCAAATCCCATTGAATAACCAGTTGGATAGGTCAATTTTAATCCATAATCCTTATCTAATGGCGAATTTCACCCATCTACCGAATACTTATAAACATATTGTATCTTATTTCATCAACTACATAACTATATCACAGTTATTACAAAACAACAGCACTCCAACCAAAGACGATTTATTTTTACACGTATTTTTTATATGATATAAAATTCCAAAACATTTCGTTACAATTAAATATTTCCAGCGGTGGAATTTAAAGGGGCCACTAAAAATTGAACTTGCACATAAAAAAGACAAAGATCGATGGTCAGCGATAGTTACATAAGTGCCTGTAGCGTTATGTAACATGAGTAGTGTTGGCAC